GAAAAGTAAAAATCATTTGCTACCAAATTATTTGGTCTCCTCAATTTTTATTTGGTTATCAATATTTTGATTTGAATGGGCAACCAATTTGTTAACTTTTTAGCAACCAAAATCTAATTGGTCGTAAATACTAGCTTTTCCCCAACCAATTTTGGTTTGGTTGTATAATTTTTGGTTGCCAAAACTACTTTTTGTTGTAGTGACAAACAAGTTTCTAAATGTCTACATTCCCAAATGTCTACATTTTTAAATGTTTACATTTGAACAAACGACTCATTTTATAAATCACCCATACAAACGAACCCTAAGCCTCTCACCTCCTTCAACCTTGTTCATAAGGTATGCATCCTAATGGATAAAAAACAAGGAATGAGTTAAGGTGGCGACTAAAATAGCGGTTGTTGGCAACCTAGATATGCACCCTTCATTCGCACCATCCAACTCACATCACGTGACATCGTTTTGTTTATAGGTCAAAAATTGATCACTCCTGTTTGACCACTCTTTTCTTTATATTGATGATTTTTTACTAATTTTAACAACCGTTTTATATCCATGGCCTACCTATAAATTTTTGTCCGAATTGATTGAAACTTATCGTACTGATCGAGATAACAAAGTGTTTAGACAACCGTGTAGAAGATCAAGGGTTGAGAAGGATTTCATCTTCTTCAGCAGTTGAGAAGGATTCACATGATATTGTCTATGTCTTTTCCCATCTTTAATTACGATAATAAATATGGGGAAATAATATTATTTTCTCATACTACTAGCCCATAGTTTGGCCTGTCGGCCAGGAGAAATTGATGTTTGTGTTTTGTGTATCCAGCTTCACTTGTAATGCGGATGCTTATAGTGTATTTTGTTTGAAAAATTATCGTAGATTAAATTGGACAAGAAATCAAAGTATTTGATTAGGAATCTTGTAACAATACCGACTCTATGGAGAATACATGAAGTAGAATGAATGTACCTAGTCTACATACACTCATTTTCAAATTCAACATCTTTGTGGATAAAGTTGTATCTAAACTCCAGAACCACGTAAGAGTTATCACGGAGAAAATGTTTGCTATTTGATGGAGCTCAGAGTTTCCATGAAATATATTTTTCTAATAATAATCTTTCTTTTTGAATATCACACGATGTATAGAATGGAATTACATAATATGGACGAGGGCACAAAACTGCTCTTGCCAACTATTTGTTTATCATCAACACTATGATTTCACGTTATACAAGATGATGTCATGTCTCCTCTAGTAAAAAATGTCCTCTGTATTTGTTTATAATTGAACTCAAATAAGTGAATAACTCACTTTATACGGTATTTGTGTTGTATTTGCAGAATTTGAGAGTTAAATTATCTTGTTTGGATGAAAAAAAAAACAATTAGTTATTGGGTCAGGATAACATAAAAGGAGCAAATACCATAATACCCTTCATTAATAATCTATTCCTTTCTTCCATTCTATTACACTATTACTTTCTTCCATTCTATCTCCAATTGTGCAATTTTGGTGACTTGCAAGGTGATGTGGTAAGGGCTTGCAATTGCAACTTTAAATAGCATTGATGTGGGAAGCTATTACAAGGGTGCAAACATCATGTGCAATTCTTCTTGTAATTCAAATGGGCCCGTTGGTGGGCCCTTTTTTACTCTTTATTATATATTTTAAAGATTTAAGATGATGGAAATGATATATAAATTGTTTAGTAGTTTCAAATTAATGTGGTGGTCCCATTTATTGAAATTGCAATTGGATTTCATTGTTGTAGAGAGGATGAAGTTGAGAAGTGGTGTTTTCTCAAAATTATAGAGATGAAAGTAGAGGGGCCACCTATGAAATTGCAAATGAATTTCATTGTTCGAGATGGTATAAGCTGTCTTATTGAGGTTTAAACCAGCTTCTAACTCCATTCTTTAATCTGGCATAATCATGCAAACCCTCTGTATATCGACCAAAGCACATGAGTTAGCTTAACAACTAGGTATAAAACTAGTCACTACAAACATAACCTGTTCTAAGAATTAGCATGAATAGGAGATTATAGTAATGCATGGATTTTTTATTTATCGATTATGTAGATCTGATTACAGTAGTAGCTTGGACTTACAAAAATAGTGAAGGCGGGAAGAAGGACAAGTTGAAGAGCAAATTTGATAACTACAATAAAGCACAAAAGCATAAAACTTATCATCTAAAATTTACTAAACAAAAATCTTTCTAATATGTGTACATTCTCAAAATGATTATGTAAATATTACATATGCTACATTTGTATAAACAACTCATGTTTGGTTTATTCGTGCACAACGTGAAAAGTGGTGCGTGTGACGGTTGAAATGTTACGGATTTGGAGAAAATTATCGGAAAATGAAATCAAGAGGTGTTGGAATGGAGAAAATTATATCCATTAGGAGCAACTAACTTCTTCCTGTGTTATATCATTATCTCGTATACTGATGCGATCACTTTAAGATCTAAAATTCGATACGTTAATTGCTACGCACTTATAATAAATTAGTACATCGAATGCATTCACAAAATTCAATATATAAATATATATATATATATATATATATATGCCCATACTCTTGTCTTTACCAAAAAGGACCAACAAATTGAAAGAGAGATTAGATATCTCCTATATATTTTGAAATAGATTATAATCTAAATGAAAATATATTATAATGTTATGGTTTTTTTATACATTTGGAATAGATTATGTATATTCTAATCTTTTTCTATTAATAGATCCTAATCCAAGGAAACGGATTTGGGCATTTGGCTAAATGGAATGTCGTGGAAAAAAACACTTGGAGCAAGAAACTACATCCCAGAAAAAAGTAATAAAAAAACGCGTCCAAAAAAATGGGGTAGAGGATTTTATTGGCGGAAAAACCGACCACCACCGCTACGGCAACCCATTAAAAATAATAAAAATTTAAAAGTGCCGAAAAATACGGGTTGATCTCCAAAGCGTACGTGGCATAAGCGCTAATCTTAAAGCGCTTTAATATATTTTAAGATGTGGTCTAAACGATTTTACTTCTTGACTGTTTTCGGCCATATAATATTATTGTATTCGATTGTTTTCTCGTTAATACGAGTGATCTTTTGACAAAAAAAAAAAGAATTGAATTTACTAGGACAACTGCATGTGCTAGTTACGTCATTGTCATTCTCTTCAACTCTTCAATTATTTTCCTCTTCTAGAAATCCATCATCTTCTTTATTAATCCCTTCTTCTATCATTCATCACCACCCGCGCAAGACCCATATTCTTCCTCTCTAATTACTCATCTTCATTCGCCACATTCTTAGTAATTGGCATGAGTTGAAGATTATAATAATGAATGTAGTTTTTATTTATCGATTTTGTAGTTTGAATGTTGTTTTTCCTAGGTTGTCGAGAAATCTCAATTCCAACGGTATAATAGTAGCTTGGGCTTAAAATTGTGAAGTTGGGAAGAAGGACAAGGTGAAGGGCAAATTGATAACTACAATAAAACACAAAAGTCTAAAATTGATCATCTGAAAATTACTAAACAAACAAGTTTCTAAATGTCTACATTCCCAAATGTCTGCATTTTTAAATGTTTATATTTGAACAGACGACTCATTTTATAAATCACCCATACAAACGAACCCTAAGCCTTTCACCTCCTTCAACCTTGTCCATAAGGTATGCATCCTAATGGCTAAAAACCAAAGAATGAGTTAAGGTAGCGACTAAAAAAGCGATTGTTGCAACCTAAATATGCACCCTTCATTCGCACCATCCAACTCACATCACGTGAAGTCATTTTGTTTATAGTTCGAAAATTAATTCCCAATGTGGTATTTGTTATGTAAAATAACTCACTTTTTCTCCATATGGTATTTGTGTGGTATTTGCAGAATTAGAGAATTAAATTATCTTGTTTGGATGAAAAAAAAACAATTAGTTATTGGGTCAGGATAACATAAAAGGAGCAAATACCATTATACCCTTCATTAATAATTTATTCCTTTCTTCCATTCTATTACACTATTACTTTCTTCCACTCTATTACAAAACCAGCAGAACATAAGAGCATCTCCAATGATGCAATTTTGGTGACTTGCAAGGTGATGTGGCAAGAGCTTGCAATTGCAACTTTAAATTGCATTGATTTAGCAAATTTGCATCATGTGCAATTCTTCTTGCAATTCAAATGGGCCCGTTAGTGGGCCCTTTTTTACTCTTCATTATATATTTTAAAGATTTAAGATGATAGAGATGACATATAAATTGTTTAGTAGTGTCAAATTAATGTGATGGTCCCACTCATTGAAATTGCAATTGGATTTCATTGTTCTAGAGAGGATGAAGTTGAGAAGTGATGTTTTCTCAAAATTGTAGTGTCAAATTAATAACTACAATAAAGCACAAAAGCCTAAAAATTACTAAACAACAACAGTGATGATTATAAATTGTTATGAATAGTACACAACAGTGACGAACTAACTTGATCAAAATTATTTTTGTGAGAACTATGTTCATAAAGAATATCGGTCAAGAATGCAGGCGCGTCGTCGCGGGGTCGGACGGTGGAACTGGGGGGGGTTGGAGAAATCGCAATGGATCGTTTAGGTCGAGCTTTCGAAAAATGAAGAGACATGTTTGGGTCCGTTTGGAAATTTTTTTTCTGTATTAACCTTTTGGACTTAATTTGGACCCAATTTAATTTTGTGGGTGAATCTGCTCATCAAAACCTTATTTAACCCACCATCTATTAGGTTTGGATAATACCCACTATTTCCTAAGCTTACATGCTTTAGGGATTAATGTAAGTCCGATAATAAAAAGACATAAGCCTTACATTACATGATACTAAGGGAGAAGTCTTCGGCCTCGGTCCTTATACATTTAATTATAGACCCAAGTTTATCTAAATAAAAGGGTAAATACAATTTATTAGCCAAATTTTTTAAATTATTAGCCAAAATTTTGGCTAATAATTTAAAAAATTTGGCTAATAAATTGTATTAAAAAAAAGTTTCATTTACCCAAGAAATACTCCTTTTAATTTTCTTCTCCTCCTACTCCTGTTTCTCCTTGAACGCTGGTGCTGCTGCTTTTCCACCTTCCTCACGGAGCTTGCTTTTCATGGCGGCGGAATGATGTGGCGGGAGAGGGACGGAAGCGCCAGAGCGGCCCAGATGATCTCCGGCGCGGGTCGAACCGAACGGGTAGACCCGGCTTTGGGTTGGCCGGCCCCTGGCGGAGCTAGAAGAACCACCACCCTGCAATCCACAACCAAGCTCCCATCCGCAATTAGTTAATTAATTAATTAATTAAAAGCTGCAGAAAATACAAAAAAAAGTCCGTCCGTACGGGCAAACCTGGGGGGAGAGGGAGAGCCTTGCGGGATCAAGCCGCCGCCGATCTTGGAGCAGGGAGAGGACGGCGGACAGGTGGCTGACGATGTGTTCTTCGTCCGCGGCCGAGGGAAAGCGGCCGCAGGACGGGCAGAAATTCAAATCAGTACTATCAAAGGCGTCCGCCATTGTCGGAGGTGATGAGGGAAGAAGGAATTAGGAAACACGGGGCGATGGTGAGGGAATGCGGAGAGGGCTGGTCGTATTTATAGAGAGAGACGCTTCAATTGCAGGTACAGAAGTTTAAAATGTGTGTAAATCGTGCATGATCAAACACTAGAAGTTGGGCTGAGTGGTTAATATGCTTGCCTCTAAGTGGGAGGTGATCAATTCGATCCATATCCTTTGTAATTTTTATTATTACTAGGTGGCTTGTGGCCGCGCTTTGCAGCGGCCTTAGATAGGATTTTAGTATGTAGTTTACTGGCCCATAGAAACTTTTCAATTTTGGATCTTCCTCCCTCAAGTAATAAAAGATTTCTCACCAGGCAAATAAAAATTGGTTATTCTTTCTTTCCCTCATTTATTTCACCGCCAGTTTCTTGCAGTGCCGATCGCCACCCTCCATCAGCGATCCCGTTTTGCTTAGATGAAACGAACTTCAATCGAAGAAGAAAGCGGAAAAAAAGCCAAAAGAAACTCAAGTGAGAATGTCGTTGTCTTTGTCGGATCCATTCTTGGATAGATCTAGTGGCATGCATGTACGGACTCAAAATGAGGCTTCTCCGTTTATATAGTGGGTATAATAGCATTGTGGTCTCAGTCTGTTTTCTGGGTAAGATTCATCTACGTTTCAATTTTTTTACTAAATTCCAATTTGGTGTTTCCATGGGGCCGATGGGAATTGTGTGTGATTTTTTCCCGTCCTTTGCCATTAAATAAATTGGGGGGTTTTGTACTATGAATTACGATTGACGATGACACTATTTGAGCCCTCTCGTGGTTCTGTTTATGCACAATAAGTGCCGGTATTGGTTAATGATTTTAAATCAATTGTTTTCCACATTCATTATTGATTGCTAATGCTTATGGAAATAGCGGAAGGGCGATTTTCAAAGACTACAGTAGAGAAGCCAGATAATTCAATTTAATTGGAGAAAAAGAGGATAAGAAAGGGAAGGAAAACAGTGAAGAAAAGGAGAAGAATAGAAGCAGCACCAAGAAAGATAAAAAAATGCCACGTGTTGAAGAGTAGCTGGCTGTTACCAAAGAAAAAAAACCTACTAAGCACATTAGCAAATCTGTTATGCTACAGTAACCCAATTGTTACTTTAATAAGTATTAAGATTGTGGGTACTAGGGTTGGAGCCTAGTTATTTGTTTTTTATAAAATATCCTTACTTGGTGAAAAGTTGATTTCATTTCTTCTTTACATAAATATATTAGTGACTTGTCATTTAAGAGTTTAAAAAAGTACATGATTTTTATATTGTTTAAATATTCGTGGTTACTCTTAGTCCGACTCCGTTAATTCTGTCCTACGTGCAAGTCAATTGTAACGTTTGACCGTCAAATTGATGAGTTGTCAATTAAAAAATAATAAAAAGTTCTACATGATCATTTAAGAATTTCCACCTCACAATATAAAAAATACAAAAAATAATTGAAAACAAAAAACTAAAGAATCCAAAATCCCATGAGATAGGTTCATAGTTTAACAAAATATGTAGAAATTTGGAAAACACCGACATCAAATAATGAATTTAATCATTTATAAAAACACATGTGAAGACAATTCATCATGGATTTGGGTACTAGATGTAATCCATCATGAATTTGGAAAATTCATTGTTTGCTTGGAGTTAGGGATGGCAACAAAACCCGAACCCACGGGGACCCATCCGACTCAACCCGGTCAACGCGGGTAAAATTCGTATTGACGGGTTTTGGGCTGGATTTGGGTTTAAACCCGTTCACTATTCACCGGGTTGGATTTGGGTTTAGGTAAACCCGATCCATGGGTACCCGCCCACACCCATATAATTAATTTTCTTGGCATATTTAATATTCTAAACAAATAATCTTATTTATGTTTATGGAGACATGTCTAATTTCTTTCTAGTTGTGTAGAATGAAGTTGATTTTATCGAGTTGAGAGTGAAAAACTTAATTGAAATGAAGAAGCTTGCAATTAATCATGTTATTTATGGATAATTTGTGATTTGCTCCAATTTCTTGAGTTTTCTAGATTGGCGTTGAACAATTTGTATAGTTAATTTTTTATTTGCTTAAACTGCAATCAAACTGCAATCAGGAAAGAGACTATCAAACGCAGGATTGACAAAAGCTCTATCAATGCGGGATAGCGAATTAGAACCATCCCCTCTGCTCCAGGTGAAACTACTCCCACCCGGGGAAGCTCGAGCAAGGCGCCACTGTCGATACACTCATTGAATTCAGCCATCAAATTCATATTTCGTCTCGTCCCCCTGTAATCTTCATGACTTCGAACAAGATTGAAGTCGCCAGCAATACAAATCGGGCGATCAGCAGCCTGACAAACATCATGAATTTCTCTGATAAACTGCAGCTTCTCTTCCCTATCCTGAGGTCCGTAAACAACAACCAGGGACCACAACTTCAAAGAAGAAACCTCCTGAAAGTCAATACTAAGGGAGAAATCCCCCATCCTAACAGAGACAGCACGGACAAACGACTGATCCCAGAAAACCGCTATCCCGCCCGAATTCCCCACCGCATTCTTAGCCTCCCATCCACTCTCTCTGCTGCCACTGATACTCGAAATTAAATCACCCGAACACAGCTCCCATTTCGTCTCGACAAGGCCAACAATCTTAGGTTTCCTTCTTCCCAAAATACGTTTAATCCTGGCCCTCTTATCCGGATCCCCGAGCACCCTCACATTCCACACAATAATAGAAGAACCCATTACTTACTAGTGTAGTAGTCACTCCCTACCTTCTTCTTAATCTTGCGCGGCCCTGTCAAGAGGGGGGGGGGGGGTCAACTGGACCTAGCCGATGCTGCTCCATTTCTAATATGGACCTTGATGATCTGACTTTCCTATAATGCATAGCCCGAGCCTTTTCCACAATGACCTCCTCAATCTGATCGACCCCATCATCCTGAACAAGGTTGAAGAGCCTTCCCATAGCGAGACTAGCATCGATTAGACTGTCCACGTCGAAGGGGATTTTTCCATCTCCCACTCCTTATCTTGACTATCGGGTACACACGACGGGGAGGGCAACTCTTCCACAGCTCCAGAATCCGCAAAACTCCTTATCGGTGATTGAGGGGGGGGGGGGGGAAATGAACCGCCCGTCAAAGTCGGCGAAACTCTATCGAGGAACTGCGGAGAGTGATCCGGGAGGAGATGATGGAGGGCTGATGATGAGTTAGAGAGCTCGGAGCTAGATAGGGATGGAACAGAACATGAGGAGGAAGGCCCCGTGACGATGACGGAGATCGAGGCAGATGACTCGCTGATCGGATCAAAAGATATGGACATGGAGTGTGGGACAAGAAAACCAGATATCCAACTCTTCTTTAGCAAGGCCACCTCGGACAGCCAAACAAACGAGCTGGGGCAAGGAAAAGTATAAGTAATTGGGCTCGACATTAAGGCATTGGACAGAAAATTAAACAACCAGCGAGGACAAGTAAAACTCAGCCCTCTGGCCTTGGCCTTGGGCACCACCATCAAATTGCTCGCCAAGCCTGGAAACTCAGGCCCTGAAGGATTCGGCGGCCTCGGCCCATACCATAGAGGCCCATGCTTGCGGACCCAAACGTGTCTCACAACGGATTTTTTAAAAGAGTTACTTTTCACCCCTGCTGGCTGCGCAACAGAAACCAAAGCGCCTCTCTCCGGGCGGCACGCTCCATTATGAGCTACCCCCATGCAGCGTTCACCCTTTTGAATCGTATCGCTAACCGATGCGAGCCGATTCAAATCCCCCCTCGGACGGAAACTCGGATCGGAAGATTCACCGGCGTACAACTCTGATACTGGAATAACCCTGACCCAATAACAGTCAGTGCCGAAGCGAATAGGGATGTGCTCTGGTAATTCTCCGGCGACCCTGACTCCAAGCCTGATCACATCGGAAGACCAGTGATTCCAATCGATCTCTACTAACGACCCACAGAACTCACCGATGCTCCTTATCAAATTGACGCTCTTCAAATGTACCGGAATCCCAGACACCATGACCCACCGCGCTGATGAAACGTCAGGCTTCAATGAGATCTCACTCCAATGGGAAATCTCCATGACGAAGCTCTTATATCTACACTGATCAAAAGCCTTGATGCGGAGAGCTTGCTGAATGCTTGGACAAGTGAGGATCCATTTCATGCAGTTCGTACTTTCGAAACCATAATTAGCATCAATAGCCCAATTCTTGATTGCCCATCTCATGAAGCCATGAGCATATTCGGCGGTGAACACCAACATATTCTGGCAGTTACCAGAGCTTTGCTTTTTCAAGCTTCACTCCCATCTCAGTTCTGGAATTTTGCAGCAATGCATGCTGTTCATCTCATTAACAGAACTCCCACCCCTCTTTTACAAAATCTTACACCTTTTGAAAAATTACATGGCTCTCCTCCAACTTTGAACCATTTAAAAGTCTTTGGTTGCCTTACATATGCTGCAACCATTCAAGCTACCCGATCTAAACTAGATCATAGATCAAACCCCTGTGTTTTCCTAGGCCATCCACTTGGTACCAAATAGGGATGGCAATGGGTAGGGTCGGGTGCGGGTTTACCCTATACCAACTCCTAACCCGCCGGGTAGAGCCTTCTAAAATACCCGACCAAATAACCACCGGGTATGAAAATTATATAACCATACCCTACCCACCGGGTAACCACGGGTATTCGGGTAACCATGGGTATGAATCCTAAACTATGAACTTATACACATATATGCACATACATATTGTTGTCCATTAAAAATTCTCAATACTTCTAATTGTTCTAGCTTCAACAATCCACACAAATAAAAACAACAAAAACATAATAATTGCTCTTGCTTCTACAATCCACACAAACATAATAATTGTTCTTGCTTCTACAATTCACACAAACATAATAATCGTCTACATCTTCATCATCAATAATGGTAGCTAAACTAAATTTCTCAAGCTAAACTAAATTTCTCAAGGGAAATTGACTCCTTTTGGTTAGCGGGACGGGTA